AAAAGAAGAATACTTCCTTCTTAACATGGCAGTCCCTGCTGACTGCAGAGTATCTTTGAAGATCTTCAAAAAGCTATCAAAATACAAGGACCTTGAAATTGGTATCTCAAAAATATGGCCCATGTGAACAACGACAATACCTGTTGTATTTGGGGCCCTCGGATTGGTCCGAAGAGATTCCAGTAGACTAATTGAAAGAAATCCTGGAAGCCCATGTCTTAATGAAATACAAAAATTGTTCTCACGAGTACAGCCTACACCTTACGAAGTGCTTTATCTATGTAAAACATGCGTGTTGTTGTTCTTTTCTTTTTTTTTTAAATTGGTCAGTGGAAAATGGCATGATGCCATTTCTGACCTTAGCTCTCTGGGCGGGGCCCGGAAAGCAATGTGTAGACACCAGAAATCAAACAGAATAAAATAATAATATTAGACCACAAACAAAAAAAAGCCTCCTTATTGATATGGCAGTCCCTGCTGACTGCAGTGTATCTTTGAAGATATTCAAAAAGCTGTCAAAATACAAGGACCTTGAAATCGAAATCTCAAAATGTGGCACATGGGAACATCAACAATCCCTGTTGTAGTTGGAGCCCTAGGATTGGTTGTAAAAGATTCCAGTAGACTAATTGAAAGGATTCCTGGAAGTCCATGCCTCAAAGTGATACAAAAAATTGTTCTCACACTTTACGAAGGGCTTTATCTCTGTAATTTTTTTTTTTGTCAGTGGAAAGTGTCATGATGCCATTTCTAACCTTAGGTCCCTGGGCGGGAACCGGAAAGAAATGTGTAAACGCCAGAAATCAATAATAATAATAATATGTAGAAAAAATATGTAGAAACATGAAGAACATGTTGAGTTGATTGACCACTTAGTGTTTGGTTGTCAACTCCTGAAACTGAAGGAATATAAAGATCGATATTTGATTTGGCAGTACATCCATTGCAAGATAAGTCATTAATTGATTCGCCTGGCTATGCAGACGTTATAAATTCGCGCCAGGTAAAGGTCGTGTCAATCAACGAATGCTACTGACGACACGTGACCCAATACTCCTTCTTTACATGGTCGGGTCAACGGCGACTAAACCGGTTCCCCCTGTCATGCTTTCTTGGCGAGGGGTGGGGAACGAAACACCGACTAAGATTTTGAACAAGACCCGTCAGAGGGCGGATGAATCATTTGTAGGGTCAACGGATATCTAGCATAATGAGGTGAATTGGGTTTCATAACTCTGTCGATGGAATTAACGGCTATATGTCCGTGACCAAGGAGTCCCATTAGCTTGTACGCCATCGACCACGGGTTATCTTTGAGAGTAAGGGGTTCCGCCAAGTCTGTTCTTTTTATAAGACACGCTTCAGTCCAGATATGTGGGGTCTGCTCCTAAACTGCGCAGTAATCCTACGACCACAACTCATAACGGGACTGATGATGATGATGATGATGATGATGATGATGATGATGATGATGAAAAGTAAATATTTTATGTGGGTTTTTCTTGCTGTTGTGGAGTATTTTCACAGTGGAGGCTTGTATTTCTAATAAGTCGTCATAAATTAGGTCCGACGTACAAAACGTTAGGAACTTGGAAAATAAGAGTCAATGGCGCAGCAATCTAGTTGTGATGCTTGGTACTTCAAATGTCCGAATCTCGACTGAGACGCTCAACACCATTCTGCCAGACTTGCCACTGCTACTCCTACCTATTATCTATGGGAGAGTCCATTACAATAGAATAGGTACTATGGCATAACACTTGCTTATAAACATTTTTTTTTCAAGTACGACAGACTTCTTTTTTTCCACTGAGGTTCAACATGTACAAGGCCCGGGAGCCACTCGAGGTAGACTGTTAAAGAGTAAGAGGCACAGTTTATTCATATATGTGGGGAAGATAACGGTTAACCCTAGGCTTGAACTGGTTAAGATTTTTGTGATAGCGAAAACATCCTTTTAGGAGTCGGTTCCATAGAGCAATGCTTCACAGGAAGAGTGGAATGAAGGTTGTTTATAACAATGTACGTAGCATGACGTGTCCTATCCCTGAAGGTCAGGACTGTTGGGCGAAAAGAGTCTACTTATTCTGAACACTTTCCATGGCAATAGCGATAGAGCAGCGAGAGGCTTGGGACATTTCGTCTGTGAGAAAGAGGTTGTAAGGTGGAAAATAGTTCATCACCCACAAGGACGTGGATAGCTTTTGGACTTGTTGGAAGCAAAGACTGGACAGCGTAGATGATAGCAGTGCGCCATTTTCGGTCTGAGCTGGTGATGGTAGAGGGTAAAAAGAGGTGCCAGCTACTTACAGGAATCGCGGAGTGCTGACCATTTTTAGCGATGGATCTTATATATGAGTTCAACTTGATCTCTGGACTGAGTTTAAGTCGTAATGGACACTCATGGCATTAGGCCTCCCTGAGGTAACATTATATCTTCGGTTTATATATATACACGATTTGGAAAATTTTCCTGTTCCACCCCGTATATTATTCATCTCTTACCTTTGTTTCCAACGGAATTTTCCTGTATTTTTATTGAGTTTGTGGAAGGAATCGTATTTCTGGGCTTCTTTTCCGTTAATGTTCATTCTGTACACGGGGCACTCGAGGTAAGGGTTACAGAGTAAAAGGCATAGTTTATGCGGTTATGTGGGGAAGATAACGGTTAACCCTTGACTGGAATTGGTTCAGATTGTAGTGATCGGGGATGCAAGCTCTTGGGAGTCGGTTCAACAAGGCATCGGTTCGCGGAAAGAAGCTGACTCAAGCCTCACCAGGTAAATACGAATGGAATGAGGGTTTTTTTTTTGCTGCAATGTACGTAGCATGATAAGTCCTAGCCATGAAGGTCAGGACTGTTGGAATAAAAGAGTGAACTTATTCTGGACATTTTCCGTGGAAATAGCAATAGAGCAGTGAGTGGCTAGCGACGTCTCGTCTTTTAGAAAGGAGTTGTAGGTTGGAAAATAATTCATCACCCATAAGGACGCAGAGATGTTTTGGGACTCTATCGAAACTGGAAAGCTTTGACTGGGAAGCTCTTACCCAAATATAACTTCTGTACTCCATTTTAGGTCCGATCTGGCTCTAGAGGATAGCACTTGGTGCCAAGACCTTGCTAGAATGGCACAAAGAACCGAACATTTTTCATGCATCTTTATCGATAGATCGTATGTACGAGTTCTAGTTGAGTTTTGGATTGGATTTAAAGCGCAATAGTCGCTCCCTTAGGGAACATCCATTAATTGTAACTGGTGGCAGTTTAGGGTATGATTGGTGATGATGGAATATAACTAAACAGAAAGTGAGGAAGGGTGGTGTCCTGTATGCTAGTCAAACACATTAATAAATTCAGATTTTCAAAAGACAAATAAAAGGAAAAAATGTAGGATTAGATACGCCCACTTAAAAGATAAAAAAAATTCCAGCAGTTACGATAATAAAACATAAAAAACAAAGTTGAGTTAATTTGTCAGAGAGAGAATGTTAATTTGAGTTTTTAAACCTTGACAAGAAAATAATGAACGTAAAATATTTCAAATTGGAGAGTCAACATCACTGACAAAAGAACAGAAGGAGAAAGAAAAGAAGAAAGAGAAGAGGACTGACAGAAAAAGAAAAAAAGAGAAGAGGATAGTGAAAGAGAAAAAGAATAAATTAGGAGAGAGAGAGAGAGAGAAACGGGAAGAGAGAAAAAGAGAAAGATAAGTACAAAAAGAAAAAGAAAAGGAGAGGAGGAGGACAAGCATATAAGGAAGAAGTGTAATGAGAGAAAGAGAAAAGGAGGGTGAGAGAAAGATATGAGGAAGAGAGAAACAGGAGTGGGGATTGAGGAAGAGAGAAAAAGAGAAGAGAAAGAAAGAGGTAAAGAGGTGTGGGAGCGAGAAAGAAGGACGGAGATAGAGAGAAAGAGAAAAAGTAAAAAGAGGGAAGAGAAAAAAAAACGTCAAAAGAAAGAAAGAGAAAAAGAAAGGATGGAGAAACAGAGAGTAATAGAGGGGAAGAGAAAAGGGAAGAGAAAGAGAGTGATAATGAAAGAAAGAGAAAAGGGAGGGAGAGAGTGGGAAATGAGGCGAGGAAGAGAGAAAGAGAAAATAGAATGAGAGAATAGAGAAAGATAGGCAAAAAGAAGTGAGAGGAAATGAAAGAGAGACGGGAGGAAGATAGGAATAAAATGAAAAGCAAAGTAAGGAATAAAACAGAGTAAAAGTGACGCAAAGAAGAAGAGAGAGAGAAAAAGAGCGGGAAGAAAGAAAGAAAAAGAGCGAGAAGAAAGAAAGAAAAAGAGGAGAGGAAGAAGAAAGAGAGAGAGAGAGAGAGTCAAAAGTAAAAAAGAAGTCTAAATGAAAAAAGAGAAAAAGAAAGCAGAGAAAGAAAAAGACAGCAAGGAGCTATAGAGAAAACGAGAGGAGTTAAGAAAGAGAGATAAAAGAGACGAGAGAGAGAGGGGGTAAAGAGAGGGGTAAAGAAGAGAAAGAATAAACAAAGGAGTGAAAGAGAGGGGGTGGTTAGAGAAAAGAATAGGAAAAACAACGTGAGTAATAGAAAGACCCGAGAATCATTGCGAGAGATACAATGATGTAAATAGAGGGTGGGTCGTTTTTAAACTGTCAAATATGAAGAGAAAAAAGAAAAAAAAAAAGAAGAGGGTATAATTAATATATATATATATATATATATATATATATATATATATATATATATATATATATATATATATATATATATATATATATATATATATATATATATATATATATGTAAAGAGAGAGAGAGAGAGAGTGGCGGTGGAAGATAATATGAGAGAGATAATTTATCTTACGGGCAAAAACAAGGACAGGACGAATTCTTATTTTGTCCTACGCATTTTATAAGGGTCATATACATGAATTTAAAATTGGTCATACACTTTTCTATATGAATACATGCACACACCTACACACGGATGAACCAGTCAGCACAATCATTTACACGATGGCCTGCATTCACGCACGCACATCCGGGCTAAATCTAACGACAACGAAATTCATCATGAATGAATAAACATGTATTACCAATAATCCTATGTAATCTGGAATGGTACACTCAGTCAATTGCGTGCCATGCGTGATACACACTTAGGCGATCATATATCTTTCGATCCCTGACTTGGATTCTAAATATAAAGGGTATTTCATGAAAACGGATTATATATAAAGGGTGTTTCATTAAGACGGATCAAAGTCAGCAGTAAATAAATCCGTGTTATTAGTAAATATTTATTTATTCCTATATTAGATCATGTTATTTAAGTCATGGCAATTATGTGTGGAAAATATTATCGCCCAAATGTCCCCCAAGGCTTCGGCGGCACACCTCCAATCGGTGGTTAAAATCTTTGATGACGTCTCTGCATAGTTGCTCTTCGATCTCACTAATACGCCTTATTATCTCATCCTTCAGTTGTTGAATTATCGTTGGCTTGTAGGCATAGATCTTACTTTTGAGATGACCCCAAAGGAAGAAATCTAAAGGCGTCAAGTCGCACGATTGTGGTGTCCAATTGACTTCAATTGTTTCGAGAGAACTTTTCCGGGAACTTTTCATTGCATTTCTGTTTGAACGTCCATTTTCGTAATAGGCTTCGATAGCTTTAACACATTGTTTGATTGTTAATCTTTCCATGGTTGAAATTGGCAAAGACTTAAGTTGTTAAATCTGAAAGAAAAACTAAAAAAAAAATATTCATTAGACGCTTAAACTTAATTCACATTTAGAATCGGTCCAAGTTATTGAACCGATTTTAAATGTGAAATTCCTATATATGGTTGAGAAATCAAAGGTGGAACAAAGCGTAAAGCAAGAAATAAAACAATCATTAATGCTAACACACAAGATTTTTATTGATCCATGCAATACAAAAACTAAAGAAAATCATAAAACAAAAAACTATAAAGATAATACACACTTACTATCCTGAGTGGATAAATATACAGTCATATTGAAGAAATGAGAGAGACGGTATCTCCAAAACACTCTGCTGATGTCGGCTGTTGCAGAAATTTATAAACAACACGATGCGCTGGCCATGTAGCTTTACAACGAACTCATAGTGGCTGATTCCCAAAACTGATGGAAAATTGCTGGTCTATGGATAAAAGCGGTGTCACTGAGTCAAACTTTTTCAATTAAAGGGAAACAACTCTCAAAATTTCAATAGTTCATCTTCTATATACACAACTAGCAGTATGGCCCGGCGTTGCCCGTGCTTGATTAAAAAATCGTACGACTCATACAGCAATCGCTATCACTTGACTTAAAATATTTTTGCCCTTCCTTGCCTTTAAAGGAGTGCCCTTTGCCGTGCTGATGTTGCTACATGCCTTATTTCTCACACTGCGATTTTTTCTAAGCTCTATACTAAACATTAAATCAGTTACGAAAAAAGAACTAAAAAAAATGAACACAAAACGATCAGCCTTAAAATAAAAAAAAGACTCGTAACTGGAAAAACCGAATGAAAAAAGAATATTAACAACAAATACTTTTTCACACCCAACCTAATTCTGCGGAATAAGAATCAACGTTGAGTTTAAGCAAGCGAATGAGCCAATTGGAGTAAAGTGCCATGCAGATTTAAATTTTTCCCACTTGTGACGAATACAGCTATCAATTTTTTTTGCATGCTAGTTAACATTCGTGTCAGTCAGCTGTTGGCTCTCACGCTGGCCAATAGAATCTTCCTGCCTATTCGTGGCAGCCAGCTATAGGCTCTCACTCTGGCCAGTAGAAAATGGCCGCAAACTACATGAAAGGTGCCGTAGAAGCATGAAAAATCGATTATTTCCACTTTCGATGGAAATTGGGAAATGCAAAGTCTGTCTTGGCTTTTCCGCTATCTGGGAGCATGTGCATGTAAATTTTGGTGCAAATCCGTCAAAAATTGCGGCCGTGCATTCGTTACACACACACACACACACACACACACACACACACACACACACACACACACACCTGCCTTTTATAGATAGAGATGCAAATATCAGTGTGTCACTTTGTCACACTTTTTCAACTTTGTTCTTAGAAGCCATAGCCCAATAGATCATACCATTTTAGAATCAAGCCGACTTCGTGAGCAATTTAAAAAAAAAAAACATTTTGGGCCTGATCCAGGCACGCAATCCTGACATTTTTCGATTCCCAAATTTTCATTACTGTCATTGTTTTCGGCGATTATTTTTACGTGATGTGACGAATGTTTTTATGCGATAACAATCTTTATAACTTGGAAATAAATTTGGGAATACAGTGATCCCTCGCTAATTCGCGGTTCTACTATCGCGGATTCACGACTTCGCGGATTTTTAAAATATATATATGGAAAATATATCGTGGACTTTCTGGAAAATTCTAGAAAAAACGCGATATATGAACACCTAAAATTTGTCATTAAACCCATTAAAATATTAATAATAAATATTATTTCCTGGCCTAGGAACAACAAAACAAGCGTAAAATAGCAATAGAAAGATCACCGCCATCCGAAGCGACGTAAAATACAATTATCGGCTGCACAGTAGAAGTCATCGTCAGCTTCATCATCATCATTTCTATTGTGCAGCAAATTCATCACCATCATCATTCAAATTCTACTTCAACTTCTATCGTATTGAATACAGTAACAATCTTTATTTTTTTTAAATCTAAAGTGTTATTGCTTAATAGTTGTCCTTGTTATTAATAGAATACTGTAATGGGTGGGTTGTTAACAGTACAAGGAGGCTTTTAAAAGTCCAAATACACGTTAAATAAATACTGTAAATATGGCGTCCCTACTTCGCGGAAATTCAGTTATCGCGGCCGATCTCGGAATCAATCTACCGCAATAAACGAGGGATCACTGTAATCGAAATTAATTACGAAATCCAGCGAAAGTCAACCATGAAATAAAAATAGTTGTTTGTACGGAAATTAAGGACCTACGTACATCAAATTGTCTTTAAATTAAATGGCGACAGAAGAGTTATCGTTGAACTTTTGAGTAAGGTAAAGCGTAAATATTAATGCAATACTTAAATGCAGCAATCAATTTTGAGATCTTCTGTAGTTTATTGTTTTCTATCGCATCTATTTCTCCCCATCCCTTGTGATGAAGTTCTAATCAAGAGCCCCCCGCATGAACTAGCTTAAATGACACATGAAAGGGCGTCCTTTAAGCTAGTCAATGTATTTTTTTCCTCGACATTTAGTGCAACTCTGAGTTTTATGCTCATTCGGTTTATGGTATTCTCAGCATGCTTCTGTAGAACAACATTTTCGTTGCTTCAAGTCTCTTCGTCATCTGCGAGGTGATTGTCCAGCATTTACTGCCATAGAGAAGGACTGATATTACATAATAGTTTGGTTTGGTTTGATTTGTTTTACGGCATATCAACCTAAATTGGTTATTTAATGGCGACAAGATTTTTATTGATGGTAATTTTTCAAAAATGTATTGCAGGTAATATTTTTTCGATCATTGTATTGATGGTAATATTTATTTTTTTTTTTTAATTTCATTGCTGGTAATCATTTTTTATAAAAAATATATTGATGGTATTAAAATCTATTTCTACACTTTCATAGTGTTTTGATCTCAGATCGGCGTTAATTATTTGCCCATAGCTGGGACCTTAACAGGTGCTACCACCCCGGGTCAGGGTGGACCTGGGAACACCAGCAATTAAGAGGTGGTTCCATGCTCCTCAAAATCTCCTAATCGGAGACCTTGCTGATTGTTGGATGTAGTTTATCGTCTTACCCAGGACGGGGATGTAGTTTATCGTCATACCCAGGACGCGCATGTAGTTTACCGTCTTACCCAGGACGGGGATGTTGTTTATCGCCTTACCCGGGACGGGGATGTTGTTTATCGCCTTACCCGGGACGGGGATGTAGTTTATCGCCTTATCCAGGACGGGGATGTTGTTTATCGTCTTACCCAGGACGGGGATGTAGTTTATCGTCATACCCAGGACGGGGATGTAGTTTACCGTCTTACCCAGGACGGGGATGTTGTTTATCGTCTTACCCGGGACGGGGATGTTGTTTATCGCCTTACCCGGGACGGGGATGTAGTTTATCGCCTTACCCAGGACGGGGATGTTGTTTATCGTCTTACCCAGGACGGGGATGTAGTTTATCGTCATACCCAGGACGGGGATGTAGTTTATCGTCTTACCCAGGACGGGGGTGTAGTTTATCGTCTTACCCAGAGCACTAACAGTTCAGTACTCTTTTCTTTGTTCCTGACAAAATTTTTCTGTTTCTTAATATTTTGTTTAGCTTCTGGAAGGCATCTTTCACTATCCCAATGTACCTTCAGATTTTAGTGTCGCACTTGCCGTCATCTGTTAATATGCGTCACAGATTCAGTCTCTTTTCACCAGATCCAACGTCGCAAGCCGTATCGCTATTTCTATAGCGAAATCTTCTGATGAGCGCTCCATTTTTTAGTTCCACCCGATCAGACCTTCCTTTACAGCTAGGAGAGGCCATGCTACATCCACTGAGTCAAATCAGCCTCGTTTCCTCTATATTCCAAATGTAAGGAGAAAGATCCAGACAAACAACTTTCTCCCCACTCAAAAAAAAAAAAACTTCGACTTTGTGGAAGAGACTCCCGAGAGGTTGCTTTTCCGATCATTGCAAATTTAATCCCATCAAGTGTAGGTTCAACAGTTATCTGTATACATATCCATATATCTACGCTTACTGCTTCTTTCTTCTCTAACGCTCATAAATTAACTCCATTCGTCCTCCCCTGAGTGATTCTTGGGATGCTTCCCTGGACACTGTAACCGCTTAACCTCTTCAAGTCAAGAGCTAATCGTTATCAATCCTCAATATCCCAATTACCCCTTCTTACTGTTATATAGGAATAAAGTGTCGCTGCCGACACTTGAGTTTGAACATAGATCGCCAGTGAGCAAACACAGGCGGTTCCATGATTAAATTAAGTACATCACGTGACCTTAGAGTAAACGCATATATGTAGAAACTAGCTGACGACTAACGATCTCCATTTCTAGTCTATCCTCTATTCCTATTTGGATCTGCAATCTAGTCTGTCGTCTATTACTACTCGGATCTTCATTCTAGTCTATTTTCTATTTGTATTCGGATCGCTATTTCTAGTCTATCCTCTATTACTATAAGGTCCGCGATTCTCTTCTCTACTCTATTCACTATACTATTTCTCTATTCGGATCACTATTCGTTGGTTACTTTTCGTGTGAGTATTATCGAACAAGTACTATTAGCGCGAGTGTTATTCTAAGGCCTCTGACAACATGATTGTTCAACAGCGTACTATAGTTGTATCTGCGATTACAAAATATCAACTAAAACGAGCATTACGAAGTGTAAACCGCTTTTGCTACTAGGCATTTTCTGGTAAGGGTAGCGGTTATACACCCTGCAGGATTGAAAATACGATTTGTCAAAGGGCGGATGGACCTTCTTTTTATGTTGAGCGGCGATCTAGCACTGAGCCCCATACTTATGCATGAAACAAGTGCGGCGATGAGACCCCCATATCTGGGCGGAGAGCTTCCTAGACAGAAGTCAACGGCCAGAGCGGAGGGCTTCCTAGACCGAAGTCAACGGCCAGTGGGGAGGGCTTACTATACAGAAGTCAATGGCCTGGGCGGAGGGTTTCCTAGACCACAGTCAACGGCCAGAGTGGAGGATTTCCTAGACCGAAGTCAGTAGCCAGGGTGGAGGGCTTCCTAGACCGAAGTCAGCGGCCAGTGGGGAGGGCTTCCTAGACCTAAATCAACGGCGAGGGCAGAGAGCTTCCTCGTCCGAAGTCAACGGCCAGGGCGGAGGGCTCCTAGACTAAAGTCATCGGCCAAGTCGGAGGGCGTCCTAGACCGAAGTCAACGGCCAGGTCGGAGGGCTTACTATATAGAAGTAAACAGCCTGGGCGGAGAGCTTCCTAGACCAAAATCAATGGCCAGGGTGGAGGGCTTCCTAGACGCAACTTAACGGCCAGGATGGAGAGCTTCCTAAACCGAAGTCAACGGTCAGGGCGGAGAGTTTCCTTAATGAAATAAACGGACAGGTGTCCGTGACAAAGGCGTGCCGTCAAGCTGTAGGATATCGGTTTTAGAGGGATAGGTTCCACCAGATCTTCTTGCTCAAGACTCGCCACGAAGGATGAATACCTCGATGGCGTTGAACCCAGATAAGTGGAGGTAATTGATCAGGTGCTGACATCCTATGACCTCACGTGGCCAGGCGAATGATGATGATGAGTAGGAGAAAGTCGAAGCTTAATAGTCAGTGCCAGTTGCTCGACTCGGCTTTGGCATATTACAGAGCAGAAAGTTTACAAAATCAAGACTGTAATGACTCTATCGTTAGGTGGAATAAAGTTTTACGGCTGACATTAACAGCGGTGCGAAATTACTTAATGGAATCCGTTGACGGGGTACTATTAAAATCGTTATAGAATAGGTTGATATTTAACCATGACCTCACCTCGGTGTGCAGTGCAGGTGGGTGGGTTAGACAGATTGAGAACGAGAGAGTGATATAATGAAAGAGAGAGAGAGAGAGAGGGAGGGAGGGAGAGAGAGGGGTAAGGGGTAATGAGAGAGGGAGAGAGAGATTGATGAAGTAATGAGTGGTGTGAAACAATAAAAATGGAGTAAGTCTGTGAGAGAAAAGGAAATAGCCATAGGAGTTAGAGTCAAAAGCAGAAAGGAACAGAGGAAGTTAATTAAAAAAATAAAATTAAGGGTTATGAAAATAGAGGAAATACAGGAAGAAATTTGAACATCTGCATATATATATATATATATATATATATATATAAAATATGTGGTGCAGTTAAAAAAAACATATTTCGATTCGTATTTAATTTTTTGGCTCTGGTGCTACCGAATGTTACCAATAACAAAATAATTTCCATGCCTGAGGATGACTGAATATACAGTTGAAAGTACTAGCATATTAAAGAAAGACCTTATACAGTTTTTGTTTTTTTTAAAACAAGGATCATAACATTCATCGAGTGATTCCTAAGTTTTGTTTGCGAAAGGATATCGCCATTTTATATCATTAACTTTGCTAATCTACTTTGTGTATGGATAATTCATTGAAATATATATATATATATATATATATATATATATATATATGTATATTCACTTACATGTTAATACCCTTGGGAAACGTGTCAATCCTCTTCTTCTCTATCCAGCTATGGGTAAATAGCAGGACAAACTGGGTTCTATAGTTTTGGATGGCAACTGTTGTAGGAGAAGGACAACTCAAAATTCAAAACCTGTGGAGTGTCGTTTGGGGTCCTTGTGTCACGTAGTGCACCAGGTCTCTGTATTCGGCCCTTCAAAAAGTGTGGGTGGTCCTGCACGAAACCTTCACCACTATAATCAAATCTCATGTTCTGTTGTCGGGATGTCGGTTTCCTGAAACCTATCTGCTTGATCCTCATACGTCGAAGTCGACCGGAGAGTCAGTATATATATATATATATATATATATATATATATATATATATATATATATATATATAAAAAAAAAGAACAGTAAGATATAAAATCCGGTGTTCTTATAGATATTTTATTTTTACAAAATAGTGCTCAATGTAAATTTGGAACTGTGTAGCGAAAAAAAAATATTTAAATCAAATCAATTAATATATATATATATATATATATATATATATATATATATATATATATACCGGGTGTAACAGCAAAATTTTCCAATTTGTAGATTGCGTTTTGAACCGTTGTGTCTTATTTACCAAAATTACACAAAAATATCTTGAAATACTAATAAAATCACCATTGGCTTCAACCAACGCCTGCAGCGGACTTCGGAATCTCTTGCATCTCTTCTGGGCGGCCTGCTCGATTAATCCTTGACATCAGGTCATCTTTGGTGTTACTAGAAGTTTTGTTGGTCTCTCGCTCACCCCACACAAAATAATCTAGAGGTTTACATTCTGGGGAGTTAGGTGGCCAGATGTAAGGGATGATGTGGCCACAGAAATTGTTTACTTGTGTGGCATGGTGCAGAGTCCTGTTGCCAGACATAGGGTCTACCAGCAGCCACGCTCTCGACCCAGTGCAGCATTACCTCTTCAAGGCACTTGATGTAGGCTTCCGTGTTGAGCCTGATACTCTGTGGTAAGATGAATGGAGGCATAAAGTTGCCGTCACCAGTGATCACCCCAAACACTATTGTAATCACCATTAGAACTCCGAACTCTTTCCGAATTCTTTGCATTCTCCCCTGATTGACACTCAGACACACTGACATATTCATATTGGAGGTTCGGTGCTTTTTATTCACTGTCTCTTGTGTTCGCATAAGTGTTTTTTTCTGGCGAAATGTCTTATATATCCAAGCGCTTTCGGCTATTCTGTTAGCCATTTTCAAAGAAGTTTTAGAGAATGGGATACATTAATAGATAGATAGATAGATAGATAGATAGATAGATAGATAACAGAAATAGATAGATAGATACATAGATAGATACTAATCCAAAGGAGATAGATAGTGAACAGATTGCGATAGATAGTGAACGGACTGTGATAGATAGATAGATAGATAGATAGATAGATAGATAGAGATAGAGAGAGAGAGAGAGAGAGTGAGTGAGAGAGATAGATAGATAGTGAACAGACTGATAGAGTGATAAAGAGTAGATAGAGAGTTTGATAAATAGATGGATAGATAGATTGAAATAATTAAAAAACATCGACAGATAGATACACAGATATATAGTGAACACAGAGAGATAGTGAAAAGAATGAGATATATAATGAAAAAACTGATATAGATAAAGAATGAACACAATGAGATGGAAAGATAAAAAGATATATATATATATATATAGATTGATTTATAGAGCGATAGATAGGGAGCTAAGATAGTGAAGAAACTGATAGACAGAGAGTGACCCGACTGAGATAGTGACAAAATTACGATAGATAATAAACATACTGAGAGAGACAGATAAAGAGATACATTGATAGATAGATGAATAGTATATAGACTGAGGTAGATAGATAGATAGATAGATAGATAGATAGATAGATAGATAACAGACTGAAATAGTGAAAAACTGGAATTGATAGATAGAGAACAGAGACAGATAGAAAGTTAGTGAAAAACTGACGTAGATAGATAAATAGATAGTGATCAGACTGAGAGAGATAAAGAGATGGATTGATTTATTGATATTATTCTACTATATATATATATATATATATATATATATATATATATATATATATAATATATATAGTGAATAGACTGATATATTGAAAAAATGACATAAGTAGATAGATAGATAGATAGATAGGCGGACAGAAAATAAACTGACATAGATAGATAGATAGATAGATAGATAGATAATAAACAACTTGAAATAGTGAAAAACATATTGATAGATAGAGAACAGAGACAGATAGAAAGTTAGTGAAAACTGACGTAGATAGATAAATAGATAGTGATTAGACTGAGAGAGATAAAGAGATGGATTGATATATATATATATATATATATATATATATATATATATATATATATATATATATATAAAACAAATAGTGAATAGACTGAGATATTGGATAAATGGCATAAGTAGATAGATAGATAGGCGGACAGAAAATAAACTGAGATAGATAGATAGATAGATAGATAGATAGATAGATAGATAGATAGTGGACAGACTGAGAGAAAAACAGGTAAAAAATAGGTATTTCGTGGACAGATAGATAGATAGACTGAGATAGTAAAAAACCGAGATAGATAGATAGATAGATAGATAGATAGATAGATAGAGATGTGTGTGTGTGTCTGTGTGTGAGAGAGAGAAAGAGAGTGAGAGAGCAGAGAGAGAGAGAGAGGTGGGGTGGGGGACAGACAGCGATAGATTCATAAATGGACAGAGAACAAACTGAGGTAGATAGTGAAAAAAAAAAACAGAAAGAGAGATAGCTAAGAACATTAACACATCGCAGTTAAATGACGTAGAGAGGTTGTTCCTCTCAATGTATAAAAAAATTGTTGGTGATATTGCCAAAATGAAAACCTTTTTAAGTATTTAAAAATAAAGACGAAAAATTTGTTTATTTTCTCCTCTGCCAGGTGCTGAGTCTAATCTTAAAATGACTCCACACATTAGCATGACTTTTTTTTGTTGTTGTTCTCTCTCTCTCTCTCGATTTGTATCTTTCTTTTCCTACTTACACAACAAATATTTCTACTTACTTATTACTTATTTTTCAAAGAGGAAAAAAAAAAGAGGATAGGTCGGGGAAGCCATTTACTGTTTATTCTCCAAACGAGGTAAAATTACCAATGTCTGCATGAAGCATCCCGTTCCGTGTCGAATATATTTTTTATTCTTCGAAAATTAAACGAAAATGCTATTAACATAAACACACACATACAGATACACACACACACACACACGCGCGCAGACACACATACTTACGTACAGACATAAAGATACATGCATATATCTTATTGCTATATATTGAGTACCAGTGTTTGAATAATGACGTCCTTGATTTTTTTTTATCCAATGAAAATAATGCTTACCTCACTAGGGACTGGAATTCAGGATAAAGAACATGCATAATTCAATATATCTTTAAGCTACGGGAAGCCATTCCCATAGAGAAGACTCAGTTATCCTGTTTGAGCGGTCTCTCGGATTCAAAGTGGAATGCAGGTTCAATTCCTGTCAGGGGATACTTCTTTTTGTTGGGGATTTGAACACTAGGCGGGAAGAAAATTTCACTGTTTAAAACATACACACAAACTCATATATATATATATATATATATATATATATATATATATATATATATATATATATAAAAGTGAACACATAAGTCAACAGTTAGGGGCGACAGTCTGTTTCATGCTAGATGCAATCATCAGGCCTGACGATTGCATCTAACATGAAACAGACTATCGCTTCTAGGTGTTGACTTCTATGATCACTTTTATATTTACACACGCTCTATCTCTGATATTGAGCACTTTATTCCATAAATATAGCACATCGTAAGACTATATTTCTTCATATATATATATATATATATATATATATATATATATATATATATATATGTCGGTATAACATCAAAATTAAAAATGATAGGAATACAGTTGTCGTCTTCATACTAGCACTGGACTAGCTTACATGGAAATTCGAAATCGATTGAGAGTACTCGAACCCGCCTAAAGGAAAATAACTCTTGACTGATGGCTGACCTGACGAAGAAAGCTAAGGTCATGAGGGTAGTTGGCGCAACACTGTCTTCACCTATACATTTTTCAAGTCTACTCATGTATTAGTGTAAGCAACGCTTAATAATTATCATAAAAATCAAATGTCACGTGGTTAATATTTATAAATGTTTTGCGTACTGATTTCATTGGTACCCTTCCTTTTGACTTTGTTTTATTGACTATCTCATCTACTCTCACTGTGAGGTAATGGATAGCGGCTCGGATTCCAGTCGAATCCATTACATTCATTTACATGCTAATACTCTTCCCCCACCAGATAACAGGACAGACTGGGTTCTCTAGCGTTGGATGACAATTGGTCTAGGAGAAGGACAACTCTGAATTGTCTCTGCGGATATTTGTCTGGTGACCTTGTGACACGTCGTGCGCCATGTCTCTATATTCACCCCTTCCTGGTTTGTTTTGCACAAAGCCTTCACCATTATAATCAAATCTCATGCACAGTCGTATATATATATATATATATATATATATATATATATATATATATATATATATATATATATATATAGACTCTAGTTTTTCGAAAAACACTCGAATTTTTGATTTGCTAATAATCAAATCAATCTCGAGGGAAAAAAAGGTTTTAAAAAAGAAACATGAACTTCTGCCGACAAAAAAAATCGCACAGATGCAGGTCTGAAGCCCAAAGAAAAAAAACCGATACGAGTAAAACAACTAACTAACAAAAGCGCTCAGTACAATCGTAGAGCAGACCTAGATACACCTAGTGAGCCAGACAAACCTACCTAGGTTTCACCTAAACGGATCGTCAGGGAAAGTAAGGCTTACTTTCCCTGACAAATCCGTAGGTAGGTTTGTCTGGCTCACTAGGTATATCTATCTATCTATCTATCTATCTATCTATCTCTCTCTATATATATATACACACACACACACACACACACACATACACTATATCTATATCTATATATATATCCATCTATATATATATATATATAGTAATCTGTATGTAAATGTTTTACTATTGCCTCCTCCTTATTTAAATACATACTCTTTCTAAACCTCTCCTTCCGCAATTTTAAATCTGCATATGTGATAGTGATTTTTTAAGCGTAGATTAGATATGGCACAAGGCCGAAATTAGGGGGCACCCAGTGAGAATCGAACTCACTGCTCAGTCGTCATTGTTCTAGCGAGACTAACCATTATACCACCTCGAGGTGCCCAAATTTTCATATGGGATATATCCCGGAAAGGGATATATTTGTTCGAAGTAGCAAAGTGGTTTTCGACTACTGCAGCCGGGTAGGACAATCTAGCGGGTAACCGTAATGGACTGGTCCTCGTCGTAGTGGTAGGCAATAGGCATAGGCAATACGCGAAGACAATAGGCGTCGCCAATAAGCGTAGTACCTGTACCTCCATATCAGTCTGTATTTATGACTGACACCAGCCAATCATATTACTGTAAGGGGGAACCCAGGTGTATGCATATTCGTTACATCAATAAGTAATAAAATTTTGGTTTTAAAGTTATTGTAGCATACCTCCGGACGATAATGGGTATGTCCCCATTCACACAAATACAGTAGTAAATACAGTATGCTGGTCTGCAGTTAGAGATTCGTCTCCGGCTGTGCTCGTCAGACTCTCTCTGCGGTCAGAGAGGATCCCCAGACGAGTCTATTTCGAAGGGCAGAGTCTAGACTCGGGAAACAGTTACCCCACCCCGTTTTTTATGGGGTCTACGGGGATTTATTGGCCGAGCCTACGGTCTAAGATACCCCACATTAAATTCGGCCTTGTGCCACATCTGATCGCGTGCGGCGGTTGGTAGATAGCATCCATTCGGGGATTCACTATGGAAGACACTTGACTCACTTCCAGCTGTTGACTACTTCTTCTACGCGCCTCTGGCGAATCATATATATGTTGTTCTTGTCTTAAGTATTATAGTTCATTACCAACCTTTCTTTGATTATTCTATTCCCTAGGTTAAAACAGGTGCCCTACCAATTAAGCCATCTCTCAGCTTCATGCCCAACGCAAATGAAACGGCCAGTTTCAGTTCGCCAGCTAGGAAAAAATGTAGATTTATTATTAATATATAATTCATAGTCATCTTATATTACATCGCGAACTATTTTATTAATACCAGCTCTTAATTTGCGATACATATATATATATATATATATATATATATATATATATGTAAATGAATAGGAAATGAGAACGAAACAAATATAAATTTCAATTTAAAAATAGGATTCAATACAATCCAATATTTAAGCAATATTCTTTATTATAAGATATTACATTCAATCATAAATGCACTTATGTGTATCATCACAACTCAGCAGGCGTTAGTAATTCATATATATATATATATATATATATATATATATATATATATATATATATATATATATATGTATGTGTGTGTGTGTGTCTTATAACGATATATAATTTTGCGTCATTTTATATGCCATCATTAAGTAAAAAGCAGTATGACAAATAGGAAAATCTTTTCCTATTTGTCATACTACAAGTTTTATATATATATATATATATATATATATATATATATATATATATATAGAGTTCTTTAGTATTTTTGTTTGTATTTTAAAAAAGAACTGTGCTCCATACAGAAGTAGAGCTTAAATTATAAATATATTTTTTTAAATTTGATTCCTTCCGCTACAGAAGAGTTCTCATGTTTCAAAAACAAGAGCCGAAAACTTCAATATAATTATTAAAATTCAATTGAATTAAAATGTCAAGTCCTGTTTCATCTTCAAGCGAAAATTTTCGCTTGAGGATGAAACTTGTCGAGGAGAAGTACAAATGTGAATTCTATCTGCGGATAGTTGTTTTTTATATATTGTGACACGTCGTGCACCAGGTCTCAAGTGTGGTTTGTTCTGTACAAAGTCTCCACCACTATAATAGATAACATTTACAGGCCTGAATATCCGAGAAATTTTCAAAGAATATATTCGTTCTCCGACACGTCTGGCTATATGACGGTTCCGTATAGGATACAGGTTCCATTCCTGTCGGAGGATGAATATTTTCTATAAAAAAATTCTCGGACATTCAGACCGGTAAATGTTGTTAATATTGTTTACTATAAACAGAGCATTTACTTAAATATTTGTATCTATAAAAAGAATGTATAAACATAAAAATGTCTTTAAAATAATTGTCGGACTTTGTCCATTTCATAATGTGTGACGTCATTTGTTTACATATGGATACGCCATGAGCAGATATGAATGTATGTGAGAGAATCATGAAATATTGTAGTTTAAAAGCAGTAAATTCGACCATGCTAACCGATCGATCCTCTGCGGCTCAATCGGTTAAGGCACGTCAGGCTATATGACGGTTCCTTATAGGATGCAGTTTCGATTCCTGTCGGAGGTTGAATATTTTCTATGAAAAATTCTCGGAAATTCAAGCCGATAAATGTTATTAATACGGTTTATTATAAACAGAGTATTTACTTAAATATTTGTCTCTATAAAATGAATGTATAAACATAAAAATGTCTTAAAATGCATATATATCTTTACCTGCATACATACATATATGCATACACGTATACACACATATATATATACATACATGCACACACGCGCACATGCACGCGTGCGCTTGTGTGCATGTATACATCTACACATAAATATAAGCAATTAAATACCTCC